GACCAGAACTGCACCAGACAAATGTTGCTATGTGGGTTGTTTTTAATTTTTTATCATTATTTAACCAGGCAAATTCCATTGATTTTGCAAATGTCTTTTGCAAGGGCAGCCTGGACATGAATGCAACTTATTGTACTTAGAGTATTTTTGTGCTGTGGAAGAAACTGAATAAAACCCATGTGGAGAAAAAGCAAACTCTGCATAGAAAAACCCTAGGTCTGATTCGGACAACAAACCAAGAACCTTCTTGCTGTGAGGCATTGGTGCTGCTAACCAATGAGCCATCATGCTGCCCAAAGTTGCAGACAAAATACAAGGATTAAGTTAACAAAAATATATGTTGGCTGAATAGTACAACGATTCACTTTCTTTGGACTGTTGTTCATAATGGAGATTGTATGTTTTTATCCAGGTTACTGTGTGGGTTTTCTCTGGATATGTTGTCTTTCCCACAGTCCAAAAGCATACAGCATAAATCAACCTTGGTTCCAAGCTAAGCATCCATTCTGAAACTCAGATTAGACCAGTAAAATTCCATTCAAAACTGTTTTTACCATCTTCTCTAACAGTGATGAAAATGAAGAGAATGAAGCAGTCAGATTAGTTCACTCTTTATTTTACCTCAGAGTTTACAGCTTCTGATCTCTTTAACCCTAAGGGGAGGAAAACAACTTGTTACTTGCCAACATCTTTTCAACCAGTCAGTGCTGCTCCACTGCCAGATTTAGCTCAGGGTCATTTGGCTCAGAGGGCCAGTTGGCTGTTAAAGACTGACATGACCTTTCAGAGCTTCTAATGAGGCTTTTCCACTTATAGAAACAATGATAAGTAAGGAATGTAAACATTTCTGAAAAATAAAGAAGAGCTGATTTCTGAATTGTCTTTCCTTAGTTGTTCGATGTCACAAATACGGAACACAGTTACCAATTTGTTTTTTTTATGACCTTTACAACATTTCAAATTAGGGGTATTCCGACACTACCAATAGTTTTACTCAAACTGAGTACAAGTACTTTAGTTTGGGTACTTGTCAATACCAAGGACTAATGGGGTTCTCCTTCCTCTCTGACTGTACCAAACCAAAGCATGATATACATTGTTGCAAAACTTAAAAATAACTAAAAATAACAAATATGATTTTCTTTCAACTTACATATGTCTTAAACAAGGTATTGACAAACCTTTCACTTGAAATGTAAACTGTAGCACATTCAATGGACTATTAATACCAATATTGATACTGGTATTGGTTCTTATAAAAATGCTGGTATCAAGCCCAATACTGATATTAGTATTGGGATTGGAACACAACCAGTTTAAATTGTATTTCATCTGTAATCTAAGATGATCTATTGCTAAACTTTAATAAGTTGATTGATTAGTAACATGAATGGTTATTTGGTTGACTTGGAAGTTTAAAGGGTGGTTGGTTATTTGAATAAAGCATTGTTTGATTGGGCACTTGGTTGTGTGGTTGATTGAATGATTGGTAAATTGACTGTTGAATTTCTTTTTTAATAAGTAGCTGTTTTTTACTGGTTAATTGGTTGTTTGTTTGGATGGTTTGTTTATAGGTTGGCAGGTTAATTACTTGATTGGTTAGTCAGTTGCCTAATTCACCGGGAAGTTGGTTAGTTAACTAATTTGTTTGTTGACTGAATAGTATGTCAGTTTATTGGCTAGTTTATTGGTTCGTTGATTGTTTGATTGTCTCTGTGTTCAGGCCACCCTTTCTACCATGCAGTTGTCTCGCCTTCACTCATCAACTTGTGCTCCAGTTACTGCAAGGGTTTTGCTGCGACGCTCCTCTTCCCGTCGACTCCTTCTCCCTTCACAAGAAGATGCTGCCCCACCACCTGAGCAAAGACCTTCACCTGTGCCCACCATCCCTGAGGCCATGCCCCCTGAGAAGCAGGGACGATTCAGGAGACGCAACGTCATGTCACTGGTGGGTTTAAAAATTGTGTTTTCTGCTAAAATGTGTTTTCAGATGATTTTCTGGACTACAAACAACATGTTTGTGTTGCAGAGTGATGCCTACAGTATGTGTCTGATCTGCCACATGGACTTAAATCAAGGCTCAGGGGGCACAAGAGTACTGCAGTGTACACACACCTTCCACAAAGAGGTAACATCACAAAGAGTTCACCTCTACAAAAACCAGCTCTACATTCATAATTTTTTAACTTAACTCTTAAAGATTCATGAAGTTTGGATTGATCCATGTAAGGCTGGTACCCATTTATAGATGTAACCATCACTAATGGATCACTGAAGATCTGCTCAGGCCAATAGTGTCAAAGGATTATAGTGACCTTAACTTTGTAGATTAATATTCCTTCAGATATTGCCTTAGAAATCAATCCAACAACCAAAGACCTAAAGATCCACCTAGGGTGTTAACAGATTATATCTTATTGTCTCTCTGCAGTGCATAGAGGAGTGGTTGTGGAGGAAACAGTCCTGTCCAACATGTCACATTCAGGTGTCCATGCCGCAACCCGTCTACTGGAACTCCACCAGGGTCAAAGTCCCCTGAAACCTAAAAAAGGAGAGAAAAATCCTTAAAACTGAACAATGTCATCAAGTCTTTCCGAAAGTGGGAACTGCTGCTTTAAGAGGACCAATAAATGACCATTATCAGACTTTTTATAAAATAAAACTGTGAAATTAGTTTAGAACCATAAATGGACTAAAATGAACAACTGTGAAACTCTAGTACAACGACAATGACCTCATTCCTACATGCATTTTTTTACAGCTTTTGATGTGGTGTGATTACTTTTAAATAATATTTTGTGTTTCAATTTTTGTCTAACATTTAGTTTTGTCCTATAAATCTGTCTTATGTTTACCAGAGTATTATAACCAAGCAGTAGA